CCCCCCCCCCCCCCCCATACACACTTTGCCACCTGCTACTTTTCAGGCAGCCTCCCCTCTTAAATGGCAGGTGTACAAAGCACCTCATCATAGGGAGTTATAGGTCTTCCACACTTCTGAGACTTCAGTGCAAGAGACCTGCAGTTATTGACCACCCAGACTGGAGGCACTCATTCACAGGCCAGTGTAAGTCAGTAAGGAAATCCAAGACTACTTCTTTTACATGAGAAGTCTTTGGTTCCGCATCTCATATTCAGTTTCCTAGGTGGAAACTGGGGCTTGATCTTGCACTACTATCCCGGTCTATGATAATTTTAACCAAGTAGAAAAAGCAGAAATAGTCCCAAAATGCTTTGTGATCAACCTACAAAATAATTAAGACAAATGAAGGTATATAGTTTGGTTAATCAGTATTTCTGATTTTGTAAAGTTAACAAAAACGGATTACAAGACATGTTATCATATGATTAGCTTGTATTTTATACTGGCTGCTTTTTATCTTCAAGTTCCGATATGATCTTACTGATTATTAAAACCATACTTATACTAAAAAAATGCTGTGACAGGAGAATGCTATATAAACGTTGCAGTTGACTATTAAGACATTAATCAAAATACTACCAGTGTGCTCAACTGCTAGGAGACCATCTCTTCCTAAGGTTGCCCAACACCTTCCGACCTGGCTTTTACACTTGTTATAACTTAACCAAACTGGACCACACCAGGTGTATGCTTCCAGCTGACTTTTTTTTTTTCCTGGGAATTAGAAGCTGAGTGTAGGGACAGACTAGACATGGAAAATTGGAATGTGGAGGAAAATTGGGACTATCTGGGCAAGGAGACTAGAAGGCAGTATGGAAGAGGGTGAAGACCAAGACCAGATAAGGAGAAAGAAGAAACAGGATAGGCTGGCAGGAGAAAGGAGGCAGCAAGATGTTGGGGGAAACTTAACTGCTAAAAGAACTAGGATAAGCTGTTGGGATCAATCCTGCCTCCATCACAGCATTCCTATGTGATGCTAGTAAAGTTGATTAAACTAAACATTTTGCAAGCAGTTGTGACTTGTCTGCTCCTCATTGTCTAGGTGCCTACACCTGAATCTCAGAGCCTGGGCTGCAAAGCATTCTGGGATGCTGGAGGACTGTGATTTAACTTGAACCAGAAAGGGGTCAGGGACAGAAGTTTCAATAAATTGGTTTGACCCAAATCAGTTACATTTGATGCTATGTTTAAACAAGTTTATCTTAAACCAGTTTCAGCCATTTTGACACTAGTTTATGTGCACTGATCTTTTGTTTTGTTACAAGTTTAAACCAGTTTCTGATCACTTAAAACCAGTTTGTGTTGAACTTCTGCCCCTAACTTAAATTTTCTCCCCCTACATTCCTGACAATACCCTAATGATTAGGAACTGTAATGAAACATGGGTTCCAGTCTCCCCAGCAGAGGTGGGAATTTAATACCTGTGGTGAATGCCAAGGTATCCTGAGGTACTGGGGAGGGGATTAATTGAGCAAGAAAGAGAAAAGGAAAGGAAAATATATTTGGCTTTAGTCAAACAGCTTTTCTTCTTATTGTTTGCTGCACTGCTGAGCCAGAAAACACCCAACGATGTTCATATGTCCATAAACTGAACCCCTTTTACTACTAAGAGATGCTACACTGTTCCATTCTCCTGTGACTCCTGAATTCTCCCTTTTAAATTTAAGTCTCTCAGGATCTGCAATATTTAAGACCCAATGTTAAAGCCTGATCTCTTTTGTTCCACTGCTTGGTTTGACTGATTTTTCTAAGGAATGAGTCAGCAATCTTCTTACATGGCTCGCAGAGCCAGGGAATTTCTGCAACGTTTTGGTGGCAGAGAGAAACAGCAGCAGTGGCATAGACTGGATAGGGACCTGCCTACACTGGGAACTTCTCTTGAGGTCCTTTCCAGCCTTATTTCTCCATGAACTAGGCTCTAGTAGTGTCCCCCTACTGCAAAACATGCAAGGAAAACATGTAGGGAAAACTTTTCCAGCTGTTAGACTGTGCAACATGTGCTCTTTTGTAAGGTGTTAGTTTGCTGACCAATGTGCTTATTGTGGAAAGGATAATATGAGGTCATGCAAAAGATCTGGATTGTATGTGCTAGGACTGGAATTGGATCAAGGGCCAAACAAGGGCAATGTTACAGGTATGTTGTCCATAATGACCCCTGCTTCTGGCCAACTGGGCCCTTAAACAGGATCATGGGGGCACAAAGAGCCACACACGGAAAACCCAGCGATTTAATGAGGGTCCAAGACTGCAAGCTCATCTTCCTACGTGTTCATTATGCATCCAATGTACTTTTGAGGCTACATAAATAATACCAATACAGTGCATCTATACGTTACCTTGTGTCATCGTAGCAATCATCGACGCAGTGATCACATGAGCGTACATGTGATCAGCAGCTACTTCGCCATAGTGGTGCACTCCCCCGTTTTAGCACACCGCTACAGCAAAGTAGCAGCGAAATCTAACTGGGCGCCATGTACATGGCACGCTATGTGTGGTTACTGCGCCATGCTTTAATACTTCCAAAAGGAAGTACTAAAGCACAGCACTGTAGTAACATTGCCATGTGTCAATGTGTATACTTGCCCATAGTTATTAAATCTTACCTTATTGCTGTTTCTTTTGTTTCATACCTACCATTCAATATAATGGCTGTTAATAGGGATTGGTTAGTTATTTCACAGTGTTTTAGTGGTTTTTTTATTTGAATTATGTAACTTTGCAGTAATAGAGATTTTTGTATTCGATTTCAGCGTAAAGGCAAAATTCACCTTTGTTAGTCATGATCCCAGCCAGATTGAGTTTCATGGCAAAGGATTATGCAGGCATTGCTTTTGAAAGGTATTTCTGTCTCTGCTAATAGTCCAAGGGAAACAGCCAGCTCAAGGTTAGTTACAGAACACAGGGTACAGAAATGCTGACCCTGTCCACAAAACAATGACATTTTGTTCCACTTCAGCTCCACATAAAATTGGATCGTGCACTCTTTGCACAGGCAGAACTCAAGAGCTTTCTGCAGATTTCAGTCATATCTCAGAGGCCTTGCAAAAGATTGTGCAAGTGTGCTGGAAGGAATGTGATCATTTATACTGGAAGTAATTCAAGGAAACTGCTTCTGAGCAATCCTGATTATTTACTGATAACTGGGGAGAGAAACCTTATTTGTATCATAAAGGATTTGAATAAACATCATGTGATGACCAGGGTTCTAGCACAGTTTAGTAGTTTAAAGATTATGAGCTGTGCAGGAAGCAATGCCTGTAGAAATCCTACAGATCTGATAAATTCTGCTTTAGGACTTCAGCATAAGGCATTCTGCAATGAATACTATCCTTGATAGATAGTCTCCGAGGGCTTGACTTCAGCTTGTGGATAAACAATTTAAGTTTGATAAAGCAATTTAATGATCAGAGCTCCATAATAGCTAGATTCATAACAGCACTCTGGACACACACCCACTATTTTTTTTTTAATGCAATTACTATGTACAAACTAAGGTACCCGAAACTTAGGAAAATAGACACCATTTGGGAAGAAGAGAGTTGAAGTGTTTTTGAAGTACCTATGATATCTCACAGGGTAATAGGAACTTCAGTAAAGAACTTCTGAGTACACCAATTATTTTAGTGGAGTTAAGATGCACACAGTTCAGAGGGAACTTGTCAAAAGTATGCAATTCTAAGAAAGAAGCTAATAACTGAGTTTTCATGATGGAATCACAAGCAAGGCATATGCATGTTCATGTTTTTTGAACAA